CAACAGTGCCACATCAGCAGTGCCACGTCAGCAGTGTCACGTCAGCAGTGTCACATCAGCAGTGCCACGTCAGCAGTGCCACATCAGCAGTGCCATGTCAGCAGTGCCACATCAGCAGTGCCACATCAGGAGCGCCATGTCAGCAGTGCCACGTCAGCAGTGCCATGTCAGCAGTGCCATGTCAGCAGTGCCATGCCAGCAGTGCCACATCAGCAACAGTGCCACGTCAGCAGTGCCCCGCCATCATGACGGGCTCAGCTCTGGGCATGCCAGGCCAACTGGCAAATGAGTCCATTGCCAAGTACCGACAGCGTTTCGAAGCTCAGCTCGCACTGATCGAGGCTGAGGAACAGCGTCAGGCGGCAGCCGAGGCAGCCCACCTACAAGCTGAAGCGGCGGCAACAGCTGAAAAGCAGCGGCTTCAGGCCGAAGCAGAAGCAGATACCCAGGCACGCCGCAAGGAGGCCCCGGATCTGTTACAGCGGCATGAAGCCACCAGCATCGAAAAGCTCAAGTTTTGGCATTTTGAACCATCTGAGCAGCACGACGACGCGACACCGGAAGAGCAGCACAAGGAGTTCCTGGCCAAACTCGTGACCCGGTTGGTTTACACTTGTAACCACCAGCAGTCCAAGCTGGCGAATCTCCGACGGGCGGTGCGGAACCACAAGGATCTGCACGAGGATGCTACACGGGCACTTGATTGCCGTGTACAGGACTTGGAGCAATCTGCACCAAGACCAGATGTTGGCGAGTCCAGCAGTGCACCCTCTACCCGCCAATTGGAGGAACGAGTTGACCACGTCGTCGCAATGCTCGGCGACATCAGCACCTTCGCTGCACCAGCAACCATCAGCAAGCAGCTGGACACCTTGAAGACCGAGGTTCAGCAACTGCACCAGCGGCCCAACAAGGATGGCAACGCCAGTGCACAACACTACAAGATGCCGACATTCCAAATCGAGAAGTTCGATGATTATACGCATCAAGACCCGGTCCCCTGGTGGGAGGGCTTTACGACGCAACTTCGGATTCTTTTCGTCCCCGAGCACTCGTACATCGGCGCGCTGTTCCTCAACTCAAAAGGCAGATGCCAGATCTGGCTCAGCCACCTCGCAACCATTCACGGCGTCCAGGTCGCAGATCTGAAAGATAAGATCTCTTGGGAAGAGTTAACACGGCTATGGAAGAAGCGGTTCATCGTGGACGACGCCCCGACGCTCGCCATCAACCGCCTCTTCGCTATGACGCAAGGCAACACATCGACACGCGACTGGCTCACGGAATGGCAAAAGATCGCGGCGATGTCGGATCTCGAATTGCCATTTTCGCATCTGCGCCCGGAGTTCTACAACCGGTCATGTGCCGACTCGAGCCTTGCACTTGGTGATCGCGAGCAATACGCGACCTTCACCGAAATCATCAACAAGGCAAGGGAGATCATCAAGACCAATAGGGCGGCTGCACACGAGAAGTCGGCATGGCAGCCAACCTATGTGGAGAAAGGTAAATTTGGTCCGTGTCTGCAGCATGTCGCTGCAGTCCACACGGACAACATTGTAGAAGACCCGACAGCCACCCAAGCATCACGTGAGGCAGATCATGTGGCTGCTGTCCAACCGCGAAGCAACAACAACTCCCGAGGAAAAGGGAAGGCGAAAACCGCATCGTCGGCCGAAAACGGACAGCCAGCATCATGGGTCAAGTTTCACTTGACCGAGGCCGAATACAAGTGGCCCGGCCGGTATGGCTGCTGCTATTGGTGCAACAGCACCAAACACAAGACCTCCCAATGCCCGGATCAAGGCAAGGAGGATGTTCGGCCTCGCATCAACTCGAGAAACTGAGTTGTGCGGGAGGTGAGGCGACTCCACCTCTCACTCCGCCAGATTCGGCCGCCTTGCTAGCGGCCTCCTACACATCTGGGGAGGATGCGAATGTCGCAAGTCCTCGATTTACTTACGAGGATTATGTTGTCCACTTGGTCCCACCGTTGGACCAACCACTCCACGTGCAACAATCCACCGCATGCACGGTTTCACTACCATCGACAACCGATTCGGCAACTTCGCCATCATCTATCGCCGGGGATTCGACGACATGGTCAAGACTTGAAGAGCTCGACCCGTTGACATTTGCGGACTTCCAATGGATGCCCCTTCCCCCGTCCGGTCGATTGTCGAAACCGCATTGCAACGTGCTCATGGCACAATTGCAGGATTACTTGCACACTGCAGTACCAACTCCGTTGATGGACGCCGGAGTAGAGGTTGTCGACCTTCACGCCTACATTGCGAGGATCGACCGCGAGTTCAAGACACAACGGTACGACGACATCGACGCACCATTGCTATACATACGCATTCAGATCGGAGAGGCGACCTCCAGCGCTTCGATCCATTGCGGAGCGACTCGCAACTACATGAGCCAAGACTTTATGGTACGCGCTGACCTTGGGCCACACGTTCGGAAGAAGTCGCAGCCCACGCAAGTCACGTTGGCCGACGGTCACACGCACAAGTCAATCGACCGCTGCATTGATGCCGTCCCCGTGTACTTTGCCCCGCATGCAAGCGAGGCCGTGTCCTTCGATATTTTGGACACCAAGTTCGACATGATCTTGGGCATGTCATGACTACGAAGCGAGGATCACCCGGTGAACTTCTACCGCCGCACCGTTCACGTTCGTGATCGGAACGGAGTACTAGTCTCATGCACGGTGCCTCCTCCTCACCCTTCGATAAGCTGCCACGTGGTGTCCGCCGCAAGCATTCGAGCGTCCATCATTTGGGATGACATCGAGGAGATGGGGGTGTGTTTTCTCCACGCCCTCCCGCCCCAAGACCTTCCATCGATGGACTTACCACCGGACCCACGCATTACCGAGCTTCTCGACGCTTACGGCGACATGTTCGAAACACCGCACGGAGTAGTACCGGATCAGCCCATCCGCGACAAGATCATCCTCGAGGACGGGGTCGTACCTCCACGTGGTTGTATCTACCGCATGAGCGAGGAAGAGTTAAGTGTGCTAAGGGCACAACTCGACGATCTTCTCGAGAAAGGCTGGATTCGGCCTAGCTCTTCGCCATACGGTGCTCCCGTTCTCTTCGTCCGGAAGAAGAACAAGGAGTTGCGGTCGTGCATCGATTATCGCAAGCTCAACGCGCAAACCGTCAAGAACGTTGGCCCTCTTCCGCGCATCGACGACCTCCTCGAACGACTGGGCGGCGCCAAGTTCTTCTCCAAGCTTGACCTCAAATCGGGATATCACCAACTCGAGATCCGGCAGGAGGACCGCTACAAGACCGCGTTTAAGACGCGATATGGGCATTTCGAATGGCTGGTTATGCCTTTTGACCTTACGAATGCCCCAACCACATTCCAAGCGGCTATGACAACAGAGTTCCGACACATGCTGGATAGATTCGTACTCATCTACCTCGACGACATCTTGGTGTACAGCCAGAGTTTGGACGAGCATGTGGAGCACCTGCGCACCGTTTTGGAGCGGCTACGACAAGCCAAGTACAAAGCCAACCGCGACAAATGCGAATTTGCGCGGCAAGAGCTGGAGTACTTGGGACATTATGTGACGCCGCAAGCAATCCGTCCGCTTGCGGACAAGATCGAGGTCATTCGTGTATGGCCCGAGCCCACCAACACCACGGACGTTCTTTCATTCATGGGGTTGGCAGGCTACTATCAACGCTTCATCACCGGGTACTCAAGGATTGCCGCACCTATGACAAGATTACAATCGTCAAAGGTGCCATTCGTATTCGATGACGACGCACGCTGGTCATTCCAAGCACTCAAGACGGCCATGCTCATGGCACCCGTCCTTAGCATCTACGACCCCACCCTGCCAACGAGAGTGACAACCGACGCTTCCGGCTATGGCATTGGGGCAGTCTTGGAACAACATGACGGCGACGAATGGCACCCTGTGGAGTATTTCAGCCACAAAGTGCCTCCCATCAATTCACTTGATGATGCAAGGAAGAAGGAGCTGCTCGCGTTCGTGATGGCTCTCAAGCGATGGCGGCACTTCCTCCTTGGGCGTTGTAGGTTCACATGGGTCACGGACAACAACCCATTGACCTACTACAAGACGCATGATACGGTGAGCAGCACGATCGGACGATGGATGTACTTCATCGACCAATTTGACTTCACACCGAAACATTTCCCCAGCCTCTCCAATCGCGCAGCAAATCCACTCTCGCGAAGACCCGATGTTTGTGCTATGACACATCATGCCTTCGCATTTGACGAGGAACTCCAGCGACACTTCATCCGGGGCTATGAGTCTGATCCGGATTTCGCCACGTTGTATGCGCAACTATCTTCGGATCACCCGCCGGCCAGCCACTATCGCATCGTCGACGGGTACTTGCTCCTCCACTCGAGAGGCAAGGACTTATTGTGTGTCCCACGCGACCGTCATCTTCGAACTCGCCTTCTCGGTGAGTACCATGACTCGCGACTTGCCGACCATTTTGGAGTCAATCGCACTATTGCACGACTTCGGCAACGATTCCGATGGCCTGACCTCATTACCGATGTCACTCGGTATTGCGACTCTTGCGAAGTTTGCCGACGAAGCAAGCCCCACAACCGCAATCCCTACGGCGAGTTGCGCCCGATGCCTATCCCACAGGAACCCGGCCTCTCAATTGCCATGGACGTCACCGGTCCGTTTCCTCGCGACCGGCTCGGGCACGACGACGTCCTCACGGTTATTGACCGTTTGAGTAAGTATGCGCGATTTCTTCCTTGCAAGGACTACCCCACGGCTCCCGAACTTGCGCGCCTCCTACACACCAGCTGGATTTGCAGCCATGGCGTGCCAGAAGACATCGTCAGCGACCGCGACACTCGCTTCATCTCGGCATTTTGGACCTCTCTCATGCAGGAATCCGGCACGAAGATGAAACCAAGTTCGGCTCGGCATCCACAAACGGACGGGCAAACGGAGCGGGCACATCAAACCGCTCAAATGATGCTTCGTACGCTCATCCGTCCGGATCAGAAGGATTGGGTTGACCGCCTCCCCGACATCGAGTTCGCCTACAACACTTCGTTGCATCCGGCGATCAGCGTAACTCCATTTGAGTTGCACCACGGTGGCCGGAAAGGCCATATCTTCGCTGATCTTCTCCTCCCATGAACAACCGACATAGACGCTGCTTGCTCCCCCGCTTCCGTTCAAAAGTACAGGGAATTGCTGGCTCAAGCCCGCGCGAACATGCAAAAGGCTCAAGTCCGCATGCCGCAGCAAGCCAACAGGCATCGCGTGCCATATCCCATCCGCGCCGGTGATCTGGTGTGGGTCTCCGCGGAAGAGTTTGCACTCGAACAGGATGTTTCACGCAAACTGCTTCCCAAGTGGTTTGGACCATGGCCCGTAACATCAGCCGCGGGCGATGAGCCCGATGTCCCCTCATTTGTGATCAACATTCCCCCGCATCTGACGGTCCATCCAGTCTTTCACGCCTCGAAGTTGGCAACATATACACCAGCCAAGAGCGACGACTTCCTGGGCCGAAGATCGCAAGATCCTCCATCTATGGATGGTCATCAGGAGGTTGACCGCGTCATCACGGATCGCAAGTACGGCAGCAAGCCTCGACAGTACAAAGTTACATTCAAAGTATGCGATCCCGACGACATTCGGTGGATTTCAGGAACAGATTTGAAAGCATCCACACCGCTGATCTACGCTCACTAAGCGACAAAGGTTAGCTCAGGGAACTTCACGACCTGCCCCTCCCACCCGGACTGTGGTCCCTCCCTCAGACAGACAGCTTTGCCCTCGCAGGTAAGCTCGGTCTTTCAAGGAGGGGGGGGTGTGGCATACTGTGCAGCCACACGGGCCTGCAGGGCCTGTCCCGCAGTCTCAGCCTAAAAGCCTAGAAACAAGGGCTTACAGGCCCCGTGTCGTTTCAGCCTGAAAGACTGAAGAACGAGGGCCTGCAGTCCCTATGTCGTTTCAGCCTAAAACAGGGCCTTCCAGGCCCTGAGTCTTTTCAGCCTGAAACAGAGGGCCACTTTCGGGCCCTCATAAGATCGACCTGCCCTAACACTCAGGCACCAAACCAGGGTTTCGGGAACAGGCTATTTTTGGCCTGTTCCCACGCCAGCCTCAGCAGGAGCTGCAGCGGCAGGCCCTGGCTCACCTCGGCATTGGCAAGAGCAGCCTCCTGGACTGCCCCGCCCTGCAGCTGCAGGCAGTCAGGAGGCAGGCCGAGGTAGTACATAGGGAGTTCCCATGCACTTCACGGGGAGTCAGAGGCCGAGGCAGGAGTAGTCTTCAGGATTCGGCAGCAGCACTCTGGAGGAGCGCTGCAGGAGTAGCTTAGCGCTAGCAGTAGTCTTCAACGCTGGGCGCTAGTAGCAGTAGCAGTAGTCTTCAGCGCTGGGCGATAGTAGAGGTAGAGGAGGTGAGAGAGGGAGTTCGCTGGCGGAGGCCAGGGAGACTTACCTATGGCGCCATAGCTCCATCTTCATCTTCAAGGTACCTGCATCAAGGCGCCAACTTCACAGGTTAGTACCGGACTGAGAGAGAGAGAGAGAGANGCTAGCGCTACTACTACTCCTGCAGCGCTCCTCCAGAGTGCTGCTGCCGAATCCTGAAGACTACCTCCTGCCTCCTGAACTGCACGTGAAGTGCCTGGGAAGTACCTAGGAACTACCTGCAGCCTGCAGGGCGGGCCAGTCCTATATAGTGCTGGCCCGTCCAGGAGGCTGCTCTTGCCAATGCCAAAACGTGCCAGACCCTGGCGTTGAAGCTCAAACAAAGGTTGTCTTGAAAACAGGCCCAAAATGGCCTGTGCTAAAACCCTGGTCTGGTGCCTGAGTTTCAGGGTAGGTCGGTCTTATGAGGGCCTGAAAATGGCCCTCCGTTTCAGGCTGAAAAGACTCAGGGCCTGGAGTGCCCTGTTTTAGGCTGAAACGACACAGGGCTTGTAGGCCCTTGTTTTCAGGCTTTCAGGCTGAAACGACACAGGGCCTGTAGGCCCTTGTTTTCAGGCTTTCAGGCTGAAAACGACACGGGCCTGAAAATGGCCCGTGCAGCCTGTTGCAGGCTCAGCATGTAACACATACGTAAGTTTTGGGTTCAAGCAGTCAAGCTTCCCCTGGTCCATCCTCCTGACGAGTCAGGAATCTGATGAATATCAGCCATAGTTCTGTATTGAGTCAATGTACGATGAACACACACCCATGCACACACCCACCCACCCATACAAATGCATACAAGGGAGGGAGAGATAGAAGGGGCAGAGAGGGAGACAGACTTAGAGACGAACACAGAGAGACAGACGGACAGACGGACAGATATCTCTGAGCCCTCCGGACCGGAACCTCTCAAGGTGAGCTGCATTTCTTTTCATTTTTTTTTATTATTATTATTATTTTTATTATTATTATTATTTTTTTTTGTTTTCTTTTTCTTTGTATTATTTTTTTTTTGTTCCGAAGGGAGATAACTCTATCTTCGTTTCATCGGACAGGATTTGAGCTCATGATCTGTTTGATAACAATAACAAGTGCCGAAATAGTCACAGCAAATATAACACACTGTAAATTTGTGAATCCGATGATTCATACCTGGTTGACACTGAGTCAAGGTTAGCCGTTACAAGGATCGAATGTGAGTCCGGTGATTCATCATTCCACTTGTGTTTACGGACACGACAAACGATGTTCTTCAGGTCGGTGAAAATGTGGGTTTGGCCCGGTGGTGTTTCCCCCGGTCTGGGGCTCACTTGCAGCATTGCACCATCCAATTGCTGAACGTTGATGTCCAAAACTACATCACTGGTGCACTCCTCAACTTTCGCTTCAGCCTCCCTCTGCAGCTTCTGCATCTCAGACAGCACATACTAAAACATGCAGTGGAAAACATATCCAGGACGTAGAATCGTCAGAATGATAATTGACAAGTCAGCTGAATGGTAAAGAGCAATTAATATTAAACATGTGAATCTTGACCAGGGAATCAGGAGAACAAGAAACTCAGGCATCATCCTTTTGACACTGCCGTCCTCATTGGACTGCTGCTCCTAAGAGTTCCTACTCCGTTGGTTGGTGCCCTTTGGAATGGTTGGATAACACCAATCAGGAAAAAGCTCACCCCAGCGGGATGAGCAAAAAAGTTGTGATCGGGTGACTGGTGTGTGATCCAGTTCCGGGGAGAGTGGGGTAATATGCTAATATCATAATATGTCTCTTGCCCCCTCTTTTCTTTTATGGAAGTCAAGCGCAGTTTTCTTTCCACTCTTGCATGGATATGACCTCGGTGTAAGCTCTGTCTATTGCGTGTATGATCCATCGTTGATGGTGTGTTTGCCTGCCTGTCTTTGAAAGCTTCTTTGTATGCTGGAATGCAGATTGAATGTATAAGTAGTGACCGAATGATTGCGGATCGGAAACAGTGGTCTACACCTGAACCCACTTTTGAATCCACAGGAGGCCTATATCCACAGTTTCTGTGTCCACTTTTCCTGTACCATGAGCTTGCAAGGCAAGGCAGTGAAGGGATGTAAGGGAAGCAGTGGCAATAATTTATATAAGTCATACACCTTCCCCAACAAGGCCTGTTGTTCGAGATACATGGGATTGAGATCCGTGGTGGTTGAAACAACTTGCCCTCCCTGTTCCATGTTTTTGTTGTATCATGAGCTGACCATTATTCTGTGACTAACCCTCACACCTTCTTGGCTGCACACACTTTGTTCCGAGTGCAGACGTCAGGATCAGTATGTTTACCAACTTTACCCGGGTTTACTTACATGGCCCACAGAGAAGAAGGGACTCGAGAATGGAGGACTCGCCTGAGACCATCTGTGTCAGATTTCGAACCCTGCGGGATGCATAAGAGTTAACCTCTTTCAACTCCGCAATCCTACATGTACACCCACGGGCCACGATGTTTCATGCAAGACAGTGAAAATGGCGACGACGTAGCCTTCACTGGTAAATTATATGTCACCTCTGGTTTGTTCTTTTTGACTTTCCCATTGAAATCCTGTCGTCAATTTTTGGATCAATTGCTCTGTTTGGTCTTCTTGCTCTTGCCCTCATTCTTCAGGGGTAATTTTCATCTTCCCCAAGACCTCAACACAGATTTGCGACTCCATAGAACCGGTACATGGAGATTCCAGTTCTGACCTGGAACTTCACCCTTACATTTCTAAAAATCCTTGGCACAACCCTTTCAACGCGTTTTCCCGCGCTCACAGTACACGCCGACCGAAAAGCAGCATTGGGTGTGAGGTTGCCTGTCACAGGATCCTGACCTGGCAGATGTGCTTGCCCTATCTGTCCAGAATACCGATACAGTGGTGCAGAGGCCTCTCTCCCTCCCTATATAGTTGTTCGTGGTGCAGAGGCCTCTCTCCCTCCCTATATAGTTGTTCGTTTGATAGCTCTTTGGAAAAAATGCTCAAAAACGTGTTTTCCCACGCCTGCAGTACACTCCGACCGAAAGCAGCATTGGGCATGAGGTTGCTTGTCACAGGATCCTGACCTGGCAGATGTGCTTGCCCAATCTGTCCAGAATACCAATACACTGGTGCAGAGGCATGTCTCCCTCCCTTTATAGTTGTTCGTGGTGCAGAGGCCCCTCTCCCTCCCTATATAGTTGTTCATTTGATAGCTGTTTGGAAAAAGAATTCAAAAACTTGCAGGAGGATAGCTAAAGAATCATGTCAGGCCTAGTGCCCGGTTCTCAGCATGTTCTTTTCAGTCACTCCGGGTAGACTGTGAGGACCCCGGCCTCAATCTTCTTATTGGTAATATCAGCCTTGGGCACTGGGCCCGTTTAAAAAAAAAAGAATCATGTCAGGCCTAGTGAATACTTTACTTTTCCAAGATGCGAAACAGATCACAAAGACCATGGAGACAGCATCCATAGTCACACTCGAGTCTTCCCAACCTGTTTTTTTCTTACTTTCTGTGTGTCCATGCAAGCACCTCTAAGAAGTGCTAAACAGTCTGTTGCGGGGCCTGCAGGACTATTAGGGGGAGGCCACTCTATTCGCGATGTCTGTGATGCATATGTTCTATGGGTGATGATAGATGTCCATCAGCAGGTGGTTGGAATCAATGCTCTGCAGGGTTCTACTTGTGGTGTGAATAGGTGATGATCTGCCTTGGTCCATGTTGGATGTGTGGACTGGTGTGTCTGCGCTCCTCAGCTGCCTTGCCTCTCAGCCCGCTTCTTTTTTTCTTGTCTTTTTTTTTTTGACGGGCGACGGCCTTGAGATATCATCATTGACCTGATGGGCCCCAGCTAATTCAGAGTTTTCTGGTCATCTGTTTGTATCTGGAATCGAACTTGGCTCTGTATTTCAACAGTTTGTGGGTGTACCAACTGCGCTAGGCTTGTTGGTTCAGCCCGCTTGTTTCCCACGTCTTTCCTTGCAGCTTTTGTTTGCCGTGTAGTTTGACTGCCTGGTCGGTGTTGCCTTGTGCTTCACTGTGCTGTTGCCTTGCTTCCCATCCACGTCTCTTTTCATTCCATGCGATTCACTTGTGTGGTGTGTTGGATGTAGTCAGCACTGCCTTGTGCTTCGCTGCACTGTTGTCCAGTTGCCCGTCCCCTTATGTTGCTTTATCTTTCCATACGGCATGCCTGTTTGCCTTGTAGTTTGACTGTGTTGTCAGTGCTGCCTTCGGCCTCGCTGTGTCGTTACTTTGCTGCTTGTGCTGCAGTTCGTTCACTTTCAACGTGAGTCAAGAGGGTTCATGACTCAATACATCAGTATGGGGATTAAGGGTTCAGCCTCCTGATGAGTCGGTGCAAGTCCGACGAAACAATCTACCATCATCAGTTTTATTTTTTGATTTTTTTTCCGCTCTTGTTGTTTTTGGTACTTGTTTTTTTCTTTCCTTTCTTCTTCTTGCTTACGTGGGATTTGCATGCTTGTGGTTCTTATGCACTAGAGAGCCTGGTCTCTGCAAGCTTCCGCTACTTCGTTTGTTTTGTGCTGAGAG